TAATAATCGTGAAGCAAGTTCGATGGTCGTGGATGTTGCAGTCTCAGATATGGTTGAAGGTTGGTTTCAATTTTCCAATTTGAATCACTTCTTTGCTGTTTCAAAAATTTCCTCAATCATTCAGTAATTTTTTAAACTTGAATTCTATTTCACGTCGTTTCGTTCAATTAGAAGAAAAAATTAACCTCAATGTGGTTCTGCAGTTTCATATTTTGCATCATTTCAGAAGTTGCTCTGTTGGTAAATTCGAATCTTAATTAGTACAAAACACGCAACATTATTTCTCTGTAATTTCGAATAATTTTCATGATTTTTTCTTCGATAATATTATAAGTACACCTGAGAGTATGCTTACAGATCAAATTCACGACTGAACTTTCGTAACTTCGATTCGAATCTCGTCGTCATTTTCTGTGATTCCTGTTCAAGTTTAATTAGCACTATGTAAATCAACGAAGGTGTCGATGGAACGAGCTACAGTGCGAATTGAGGACTTCATGCTGAAAGAAGCATAAACGCCCCGTAGCAACAACTCCAGTCTTAATTTGATATACTCTAATTGCCGCGTTGAGGTAACTTGTGATACGCGTCTGCGATCTTCTCTCTTTCTACTCTAAAAACTGCCATTTTCTTCACTTCGACAATCTTGAGGTTTACCTTTGAAAAACTGCAGGTAACCTTCAAAACTTAACTGAAAAATTAATAAAAAGTATACCATAAACATCTTAACCCTCTATAACGCCACGTGACTTGGAAGTTACATATTTATTTATCTATATTTTACAATCTCATTTTATTTATTGTCACATTCTCATAATAATTATTTTTTTATTAAAATCAAGAAAGATGATAAAAATGTTTTTAGTAAAATCGTAATCAACCGTAATTTTTCTCCTCGCGAACGAAGCAAAATCAGGTTACAGAGTGTTAACGATACAAAAGAATTCCGACCGGTCCACTAACAACGGAATAATTTAAAGTGATTAATTAAATAACTTAATTAATTCAATTAATTTAACGAACACTCCTATTTCCAAATTTAAATTCCAATCTACGATTAAAATGGGAATTCCTCTTCAACACCGTGCAAACAAAATTCCATTCGCCCGTAACATCGTTCCGCGATAATGTTCCACGAAAAAAAAAAACCGTTCCAGCCTGAATACGTTAATATCAAGGTGCAGCCTTAAAGTGCACAGAAACCACGGGAATTAAACGCGTTCGGAAAAAGTTGCGTTGCACAAGTACAGAGTTGCACACGTGCAACGCACACGCACCCGGGTTCGCGCGACTCGTCGCGACTAATTGCGGGCCCGCGTGTGACGCAATCGCTCGCGGGCTCGTGGGAAGCGCGATACACACCCACGGACCCGTGGAAGCCGCCGCAAGGATCGCGAAAGTTTATTATTTCGTTGCGGAGAGTTCATCGCCGTTAGACGCGCGCCTTTATGCAACGCTCCATTGTTCAATTGGCGACGTTTGCCAAGCCGAAATGCATCATCGGGCGGCCATACACGCCTTTGCCACTATTTGGAAACTCTGTGGGCTTCTGAAAGGAAATGGGTGTCTCGGGAATTGATATTGAGTAGGTTTGAGGGTTTCGCAATGGTTGTGGAATTTGATTAGCGCCTTTTACGGGTTTCCTGGGAGATTTAGGGTAGTTTGGACATTTTTCTGTTGGTAGCAAAATGTGAGGATATTTTTTCAAATAATTCAGCTATGGAACTATTGAGAAATTTTTGAGGATTTTGTGAAATTTGGGGCAATTTAAGAATTTTTCGAGGATTCTGCGAGATTTGGGGCAATTTAAGAATTTCTTCAATGACAGCAAAGTGTGAGACGATATTTATAAATGATTGAGCAGTGATTCTTTTCGGAAATTACAATTTTTTTAATTTTTGGGGGGTTCTTAGAAGATTTGAGAGTATTTTGGAATTTTTTGAGCGACGGTGAGGTATGAGGCTGTTTTTTTGAATAGTTAGGCTATAATGTTGTGGGAAATTTTTAGGTTCAGAATTCTTTTGGGATCGTGTGAGATTTAGGGCAATTTTGAAATTTTTTGAATGATGGCAAGGTGTGAGAGAATTTTTGAAAATGGTTGTGCAGTGATACTTTTGGGAGGTATTCTACTTGGATACACGTAGTACACATGTAAATATGTATATATGTACGTCTAATTAGAAACTTTCAAAAATTTGTGAAAGTATGGTGATGCGCCTTGTCCACACACTTTTCTATTTACGTAGAGCATTAATACTTTCATCTTCCTAAGTTGGTAATAAAACACTTCCACTTTGAAATATGAGGCTTCTTCATTCATTCTGAAGCCTGTTTGACCCATTGACTACTACTGTACCTTCAGTGATTTGAGAAAACACTTTCGAGGAATTTAGGTATCAATCCTGATTTAAACAATGACTACCACAATAATACTTCTCACACTTTTTACCTACAAATGATAAACAATCATTACAGTAAATCACAAATAAAAAAAGAAAATGAAAAATACAAAGACAGTAAAAATAATTAACTATCACCCCGAACAATATTTATTTTTCTTCAAAATCTTCTTTTTATAATACATCACAGTGAAAATGACAAAAAAAAAAAAAAAAACACCATTGGACAATTAAAATCCTAAAAATTCTAAAAAATCACGCTAACCGTTAACACTAAAAGCCAATCGAAACCCCATACAAGTTCCCAAGCAATCTCAAACAACAGTAAAAGTAATGACTCGAAGAAACCTCGACATCCGTCTCCGAAGAGTTAATTAAGCAGAAACGTACAATGCAACAGCGAAGTGCTCGATAACAGTAACGGTACCAACTGCTGATGGAACCACCTGCTTGTTCTTTTCTCTCTTTCTCCCTCTCTTGAAAAGTGTAATTAGGTCGTTCCTCTAATCGTCAATTCACACGATAGATATATTTATTCCCAATCACTGTTGACCTCCACGTGCACTCGTGTTCTTCTCGCGTTTAGGATCGCTGAAAGAAGACCGGAAAAATAGATAGCTGCAATCGGCAGGAAGTCTGTATCGTTTAGGTTAGCCACGCTGAGATTACAATTACGCTCACGGGAAATTTCTCTGGAATACATGGTGTCGAACGTTCACCAGTTTGTCGATTATCGGTGTAGGTATAACGGTTTCCTCGTGGATCCGCCATGTGCGTCTTCGATTCGTCGGAGAAATCGAAGTCGATGGCCTTTCGTTCAGCTCGGTTCTGATGGCTCGTTTAATTAAGTAGGTGAGAAAACAAAAAAGGGAAAGATTTCTCACTGGAGCTTATTTTCGCGAAATTGTGAAAATTGATTTTCAGCTAGATTAACCTTAGTACAGCCTTTGGGTCTTTTTTGACCCGTCGCTTAATAACTTTTGCTGTTAACGAATTTTTGTTCCCTTAACGCTGTATTAAAAGCTTATTGTTTCGGTTCACATGGCGTTCTGGTAACAACAATTGTTACGCATAAGGTCTTTGGGTCTTTTTAGACCTAACACCTTAACCCTACAGCGGGTCTTCGGGTCTTTTTTGACCCACCGCCTTTTTATATTTTTAGTCATTTTTGGTTAACATTATTTTAAACGTTTATTGTCTAGGTTCACATGTCGCGTTGGAAATAAAAATGATTACGCATAAGGTCTTAGGTCCTTTTTCACCCAAAAGTCTTAAGTGTACAGTCAAAACGAAGACCGCTCTAGGGTTAAGTATAGGTGTAATGGAACGGAAGAACGCATTAGGGTTAATGGATTGAGACGAGAGACGTTTTATCATGAAGTTATCCTTAAAAATCGTAGTGACAATTCTCAAACGATAATTTTGGAGTAATTTTAGTAAATAAGAAAGTATATTATTTGAAAAATTTGTAGTCTTTCCTTTCTTTTTATTTACACGAGTGATTGTTTCGTTTTTCACCCAAAATCATCGTTAAAAAGTATGTAGTACAATCCGTGTTCCGCGTCGGGGATTATCCGTGTGTAGTGAGTGCAACGTCACTAAATAATAACTTGATGTCCACGAAGATTTATCACGCTTCTCGGTTACGCGGCAAGGTATGCAACTGCTGTGCCACAATTCAACCGCAGAAACCGTAAGGAATTTTATGGGAACCGGTGTATATCCTATACATAGAACAATCTTATCTTCCGTATGTTTTCCAGCGCACGATAAACCTCGTTGAACTTTGCATTTAAATGTTAACGTTAACGAGCTTCGATCTGCGTTTCTTGGTATGCTTCCACTTTAACATTTCTCCAACGCTTCAACGACCAATAAGAAGAATTAAACAGAAATGAAATTAGAGAATTTTAAAAAATTTCGTAATTCTATGCAGAAGATTTGATAATGCTTTACGAGAAAATTCGACGCATCTTAAGAAGAAAACGATACGTCTTTCAAGTCTGTTAAGCATTGAAGTCTCCCGAACGTTCGAATGCAAACGTTGCAGCAATCGTCGAGATAATTTCACTTTCTCTAATTATCCTCTCGTTTCTAACGATTCCCAACAATTGCTCTGTTTGAGAACGAAGATGTTTAATTCGTAATTACGACAGGAAATAGGATTTCAACATTGTGAACGGGACAAAAGGGAGATCTGTTTCAATATTCTATTAACAGCAGTGAAACGTGTACCGTCTATTAAATACAAGACACATCTCTCTCGCTTTGGCAACTGAACACAATCGTGGAATTTCGAATAGAATGAAAATTGTTTACTCGATGTGTTTCCCTTTTTTCTCGTTCGAATGAAAAGAGAAAAAAAGAAAACACTTCACATTTCAGGCTATTTTAAAGTGTTAACTACGTTCGTGTATAAATTATGCATTTCGAAAGTGTCAAGGTCTGCACGCCGTCCTCGAGCCACACTGTGTAGTATATACACTTTGTTCAAACATTTGCATCTCATGTTTTCCTTCCACGACCCGCACAAAAATCGAACCAAGTCGATGCTAATGAACAGCCTGTTTAAACAGACCGCCTTCTTTTTCTCTGTTACAGGAATATGCTGATAAGAGAATTGGCGGCCGTGTGGGTCGCCGTCCTCTTGTGCCATCTTCAGCTAACGGAGTCTCAGGTGAGCGCTCGATTATTATTCCACTATGGCTTTTCGATGACATCGCGGCCTGCATTGTTTCACACGTGCGACGCTCTGCAAAGTGTACCGCACGAAATCAGGTCGAAAAGTCACCGTGCAGATATTCTCTTCCCCGAGCTCGTCATATCTCCTTACTTTGCACATTTTGTTTTTATTATAACACCTATGTGCACTTTAACGAGAATCGCGCTTCGATGTGTAAGATACAGCGGCATTCTTCGTACGACGCGATTCGTGTCACTTGCATAATAATATATCGTTCGACGGTAAGCATATTGATCTTTGAGAAAATCCTCCGTGGGTCATCGATCACTCACTTACCGAAACCCATTTTTCGAACTGTATCGCGGAACTATATTATAGAATACTCAAAATACGCGGCTGAATTAAAAATCCTCCGTGGGTCACCGGTGACCCACACACCAAAAGCTACTTTTTCAACTATATCGCAAAACTACACTCCAGTATACTCAAGATGCGCGTCTCAATTAAAAATCCTTCATGGGTCACAAGTGACCCGCGTACCAAAGTCCCACGAAAAACCATTTTTCGAACTATGTCGCCAAGCTATTCTCAAAAATACTCTCAATTCGCAGCTGAATGAAAAGTCCTCCGTGGCCCACGCAGATGGACACGTGAAAAATCATTCGATAAAAAAAAAAAAAGAAAGAAAATACTTGCAAGGAATAATTCGAGACTGTTGATTCACACGCGATCCTAGGAAAGTCACGCGAGGGCAATCGAGATTTCTCGAGTGGAAAAGAGTATTCGGTGTGCCAGGAGGGCATCGGGAATCCTCCTTTCGAGATAACAGCTCGCCTAGAATTCTTGAGAAATTGAGTCGGGGGATTATGAAGTAATTGGCATGTCGGCCCCACGGGAGTTAGCATTGGCTGGCCGTTCGCGCGGGACGTGCACGGTGGCGTGTGTGAGGTGAAAGTGAATTTCAACTTGGGCCCGTACGTTCTGTACGTATGTACACGCGTGTGCCCTATCCGACGCGCAAACAATGTTACCAACTGTGTACAGTTGCAACATTTTATGGTATAGGAAGTGTCAACACGGCGGGGAAAGGCCGCTCGTGCGGCTCTCGACGCGAAAAACCCGATTCAGAGTCGCTTGTACCGATCTTGTATCTCTATAATGTTTCATGCTCGCCTAGCAAATTATTCTATTCGTGTTTATTATTTCTTTTCTCTGTCGTACAATTTGTCGATCGAAAATTTTCGTGTACGCAGGTACATTACAGTTGTAAATTTTGTACATGTCCATCTTTACGTACAGTTTTATTACTTTTTAATAAAATATTGAATAAATTTTGTGGAAGTAATTTCTTTCGATTTTCGTACGTTTATAACATTCCCTTTTTAATATTTCTTGGAAAATCAGCTACTTAAATGTCTTAAAAAAAACATTTGCTGGCGCGTTTGAGTAAGTAAAAATGCATAAGAAACACCTGGGAATTTTTCCGAATATTCTTCGGTGAAACGTGTAAAAGTTTGGACAAGAACCACAGAATACCGTGCGGCGGTAATTGTCGCCCAATGGAATTCCACCGTTCGTTTCTCCTCTCACGACTCGCGTCGTCTCCCTCAGGAATGCAGTCACCGTTATGTCACTGATATTCTGGTATATACGCGAAGAAAACTCACGAGAAGCCACGTTGCCTCTTTCCGGCGAACCGATGGGCGCAAAACCGAGATCTTCCGCTAGATTGGCCTCGTTCACTTTCTCCCGTGGAATAACAATACCGTTTTACTTCGAGCACTGCGTGGATCATTTCACGCTTGCACGTAGATTCGTAGTCGAAAAACCGAAGGAAAAGAAACGAAAAAAGGAAGAAGAAACTGTTCACAGTCGTGACAACTGTGTCTTTTTATGTAATCGACGTCGTAACACGCGTCGACAGAAACGTCCTCGGGTTTCGTCACTGGTCGAGATGTGAAATTGTAGCGAGTAATAATTCACCATGTGTGAAACGTGAAAATTAATTCGTTTTCCTTAGAATGGAGCAATTTATGGGGCAGATGCAGACGTATCGATAGATAGTGTTACGTGTGATGTTGGAGGGACTGAATGGTATCGGTGGGAATGGGGTGAATGGAGTTCGATTATGTGCTGATTTGTTTTGCATACGAAAACTAGTTCTTAGGAACTGGACGAGGTAAATTTGTAGAAACTACGAGGATTTTATTTTTTTATTGATTTTGAAAGATGAGGTGTTGGTTCAATTATTACATAAAATTGATATAAATTTTAATTAGTAATTTAAGTGAAGTCACAGGTGTAACGTAGAATTAACCCTTTCGTGACTGACTGTGAGTTACTCTTTACCGAATGAGAAATTTATTTGAAAAAATGGGAAGATTGATATAAATTTCAATAATACGTTTTTTTTTTCAAATTTGTCATTGATCATCATGCCTATAACGAATGCTAAATTGAGATCAATTTATGTTCGAGTACACAAGTGAGGCTTATACGTCCCATTAATCACGAAAGGGTTAACACGTCCACGTTCAGATGATGAATTAATTTATATCAAAATGGCAGCAAAGTTTTATCTAATTTACTAAATAAAATTTCTTTTATTTCACTAGTTTTATAAAGTTATGGTAAAAGTTTGTCAAGTCCCAAAAATTCTATAATATACAAAATATATAATAAAAGCTACAAGAGATTAACCAATTCCAAGAACAGACCGCTTTTCTTCGTTCCACAAAACGAACAACAATTTTCAAACACCTGTACGACAGTCCAAATGCAAGAAAGTGCAACAAATTGTAAAATTTATTGCACCGAATTCCTGTCACTTTAGCCAGAACGAAACTTGGCTAAAGTGACATGGAATGGTCAGCTATATCCTGAGTTACAACGCCATAAACCGCTTCTAACGCGTTATTACGTTTCTTTGTTACAGGTTCCTGCCACAAATGTCTTCACCTGTCCGAATGGTGAGTAACTCGGAAATATTTCTTCTATTTTTCTCCGTAGTCACTGCAGCAGGTATATGTACATAATTCTGTTTCGAAGCCAGGACCTTTGGCTACCTTGAAAAGGTCGCACCTGGTGGTCCTGTACCTGGCCAGGTAGACTGTTAAACGCATGGGCCGAGGTCGTGCTTTAAAACGCTTCAAGGCGGCTACGCATTGTACGACCTCGGTCCAGGGACTCAGCCAATCGCCCTCCACCAACGTGGAACCTTTTTTTCTCGACAAATATAGGCGTCCTCCGTGTAGATTAACAACCATATCTTGCGCCTTTGACTTTGACCATATTTCCTTAAGTCGGATTTAGCGAAATTTTTGTCAGATGTTGATTTGTAGATGTCTGAGTACACTGACAAACTCAGGAATATTTTAGATACTATGTAGCAGGGATTAGACTAAGAAAGTGGTGTAGTAAGGTTTCGGTTAGACGTTTGGTTGAATTAATTTTGTTTGAAATATATTCATTTCTTAAAATTTTATTCATTGTTTACTAGTGAATGCGGACTGATTATAATGAAACAACGAATATGACTTACATAGTGAAAGTTTAAACTATTTATAAATTGAGTGACTTTAAAAAATACTGTGCTGATTGAAGCTTAATTTATAAATTCAGTTACTTCAATTGCAAAATTTAAATCTCCCAAGATTCGTTTAAAAATAGACCCATAAACATTTGGCAGAAGTTAAATGAAATTCCGATAAATTGTCGAAAAAGGGAGTCATGAAAGTTCTTACATATAAAATTTGTCAGAAATTTGTTAAAATTTCAAAAAATATTTCTACGCATGAGGTTCGACAGAAATTGATTGAAATTTCCAAAAATTGTCAAGAAAGGGAGTTATGAATATTCCTATATACGTATAACGTTCAACAGAAATCGATTAAAATTGGAAAAAATGGCCAGAAAAGGGAGTCATAAATATTTCTACGTACAAGATTCGACAGAACTTATCTTTCGGCCTTCGACGAATTTTTCTCTCAACATCAAAGTCCAACGAGAAGTAAATTATTCAGGCCTTCGAGAAGCGACGAACGGTGTGCTTCCAAGGCCTACGACAGGGACCAGCAGATTAAAATAAAGTTGTTTTCGAAGCTCTGACGCTGGATTCTTGCATCGGAAAGCGAGCAATTCGTTTGTTGCCGGCAAGTCCGGCTCGATCGAACTTGAAACGTCTGGAATGCACGCGACAGAACACGGTTAACGATCAAGTAGCTTCATACTGGTACGTGCAACCTACTTAATTGCACTGCCAGTAACGAGGAAAAGTGGAGCAACGTTACGAATGGCCGAACTCTTATCCTCATTGTCCCTTGCGTGATTTATTCGCCATACGTGTCTCGCCACGGTATTCCTTGACCGTTCGCAGAAATTCGTGCAACATACAAAATCCACTGCGATTCGTGGTATAATTTCGAATATGTTAATTTTCCCTTTTTCATTATTCGAACTTCGTTATTCAATTATTCGTCATTTTTCTAATTAGTAGCATGAGGCTACCATAATCTCATTTTAAGAATTGCATACACCTTGAAACTTAAAATAAGAAAACAATTTTCTGATTTTTAAAACTTGACCAATTTTTCTCCTCAGTCATAGAGAAACAGGAAAATGATTCTCTGATGTTTCCAATTTTCAACCAATCTTTCTCCTCAGCTACAGTGAAAAAGGGAAACGATTTTCCAATTTTTCTCCTGAGCCGTAGAGAAAAAGGAAAATGATTTTCTGATATTTCCAATTTTTCTCCTCAGTAAAAAAGGAAAACGATATTCCAATGTTTTCTCCTCAGCCATGGAGAAAGAGGAAAATGATTCTCTAACATTTCCAATTTTCATCCAATTTTTTTCCTCAGTTCAATGAGAAAAATTTCGATACAACGCAATTTCCACCGGATCTTTCAATAATTTCTAGCTAAATATAATCCCTCGAAGCTCTCCTCATAGCTGAAAACGTCAAAAACGAACACAAAGCTAGTTCCTCGTCAAGTTACACCCCCTCGAGCGTAACCTTAAAGGCTTCCATTCCCGATGCACTGGAAATATCCTGCACGTCCTCGAGGACGAGCTAAAGGTAGGCAGCTGGCCCAAAATTCTCGACCTGCTACACAATAATGACCATACAGTTGCCACAAGATCGCCACAGGTAGAGCATGGAAGCAGGGGGCGTGGGGGCCAGGGGCCGAGGCGGCTTTCCTAAACTGTGAATCCTTCTCCTTCTCCTCTTCCTTCTGATGCTGCTTCTTCTCGTTCGTGGCCACAGCACGTTGGCACAGGAACGATCCTAAAAATACACGGTTCTTCCACCTTCCACACTCTCTTCTCAAACGGGATTCCAAAATGTGGAGCATCCGGCAACGACCGATTATCCACCGACGATTCTTATCGATAGAGGCTGGATAGAGATCACGTCAGCTGGTAGGCTTCTTAAGTTCCGTTAAGCGACACATGCAGCCTCGTTTGTGGATTTTTCAGGTGTGATGCTGTGGTGGGAGCATTATCGAGGAATTAGGTGAACTTTACAGGCCAGAGAAATTTAAAATTGAATACGTGAGTTCCTCTTCAATTGCCAGATAAAGTGCACTCGCGAACTTGTTCGTTAATTTTTAAATTAGCGCAGAGAATTTTTCGCAATGAAGAATTTAGAATTGGGTAGGTGAATTATTTTTTAAATTATCAAATATGCACGCGAAGAATAGTTCGCGAATTAGGATGATAGGAGAGATGTTGAGGAATTAAGTGAAGTTTAGAGACGAGACTTTCAGAGAATTTTTCGCAGTGAAGAATTTAGAATTGGGTAGGTGAATTGTTCATCAATTGTCAGATAAAGCGCACTTGCAGCTGAATCGAGAAATGGTAATAGGTGCGAGGAGAGCCGCATACTCGGTATAAACATGGCTGTTTGACCTTTTAAAAGAAAGGAAGCCGGTCACCGTGTCTTTCTTGGCGAGTTCAACGCAAGCTGCATCGAGAAATCGCATGAATATAAAAGTCATCCTCAATACAATGACCCTAAAGATTGGTCCATAACAACCTGTCAGAGTACCTTTGGACCAATTCTGATTCTTTCGCTACAAACAGATTTCACAAGTGTATACAGCAGTGGTGGCTCGTCCATAAGGGCTGCGCCCATCCAGTATAAAAAGAAAGTTCCTGTTTTATTATCGCGACTGTTAAATTTATATATGTATTTATCTAAAAATCTTTATTTTCTTATTTGTAATAGAATACAATATTTTTACAATATATCTAAAAATCATCAAAAACACTTTCTAAATAATTACCTTTAGTTTTATCGATGATATAATTTTTCCAATCCATATCGATCTTTTTTACGTTTATTGCTACAGCCCCACCACTACAAGTTCTTACGAGCCGCCACTGGTATGCAATATTTTTATCAGACAAAGCAACAGATATGGAAAATGGTAGCCTTTCGAGGATCAAACGGTCAACAACACGAGCACGCGAAAGATGTTTCACTCAACGACGATTCTCTTTTACAATGTGTTACCCAGCGACCTACCTTTGACTCTAGGTGCGCACACACGCTGTGTCGCACTAAAAACGATCGAGGTCGTTGTATCCGTCACTGTCTGTACAGGTCATCGTTTAACCGCGTTTCCTCCACCAAAGTTACGTCAAACGGCTTCGCCCCCTCATTGATAAGAAGAACCCCGCAAGTGCATCACTCGCTTATTAACGAAACTTTGCTAACATATGGAATTCATTAGACTGAATACGTCTGTATCCAATTTTTGAAACAGGCGGCTAATTGTTTATGAGATATTAACGGTACAAGTCAGTTACCCTTTAAATATTGAAATATATATGCCACGCCAGGTTTACATGTTTTGCTCAGGGGGCCACAAGAAAATTTTCATTACTCTGAGCATAGTATTATATTATGCTTTATTATTATTATTTTTTTTTTAATTCAAGATAATGTCCTCCAGTTAGCTACGATGTTCGGAACTTTTAGTTGACGATATTCGTTTTATTTTATTTATTCTAAACATTTGAGGCCCTCCGGTCACCGATGACCACCGTGGCCTCATCAAGGAAACCATCTCCGGTCACAGGTGTAAAAAATTTAACTTAGTTTTAGTTAAAATGTAAAAAATTTTTTTAAAAATTTGTTGTAATTATATATAAAAATAGAATAGAGAATACCGTGACTGGAGCTCACAACCCTTGAATTTGCACGCGGGTGCTTAATCGAGGAACTAACATACCTACATACATACTTTCCATAAAACTTTCTAGAAAACAAAATAACTCGATGTTGCACTTCGTTGAATTCGTCACAACAAATGCTGTAATACTACGAATAGAAAAATATAGCGTTCCATTTAAAGAAATTGACTTGACTTTGATATCTCTCCCACTACTTCACCCACACAACAATTATTTATACTACATAAGATATCCCTCCGTACCAAACAACTTTTGTACGAACATTTTTTTGGCAGCTTCAATCACAACTGTGAACCCAAATCGAAGAAAAGAATAACAAGTAAAAAATAAATTATTTGCTAATGAGATCAATGAATAAACGAATTCTATAAGTGGACAAAGTTTCGATATAATAAGTGACCGTTGCATTTAGGGAGTTCTTGTGAGTATCGATCAGGAGAGTTACGTGACTCGTCACATGATCATCCCCTGCTTAACGATAGTGATGTTCCTTGTACTACTACTCTATCTCATCCTGGATTATTGTTTGATTTATACCTTGACCATGAATTAGGGGTACCTATATTGAGAAATATTGTTTGTCATTTTACGAGACGATTGGAGTGGATGAGCATCGTAATAAATTGGGGTGGATTCCACTATAATAAATTATTAAGCTCAGAATAAGGGAACTTTTGTTACATGCTACAGGTTTGTGAAAATTGTCGAACGATCATGAATTTCGAACGAAGAAAAGTCTGATTAGACTTTGTTCAGATTCAGATGCATCTACTATGATCATGTGCATGATCGACGTGTAGCGAGAAGTATGACGCGGTTTTTTCTTGCACAGGATGGGAACTGAGAGGCATACATTGTTACAAATTCTTCAACATCAGGCACTCTTGGGAAAAGGCGGCAGAACTATGCAGAAGGTAAGTGGATCAATCGTCAATAGTCTTCTCACCGTGTTTCCTCTAGTGCACTGCTTTTTTCAAGGCTGCCATTGCTACCTTTTGCAGCTATATTACTTCAGAACACGAAATCGACGAAGTACTAAATATTTGATGATTTTTGTAAAAGGTATAGAAATCAAAAACTTTCTATACTTTCACAGTGCAACGAAATCACGAAAAATATGTATTTTTTCAACTTTTTGTTAATTATTCGAATTTTTCGTTTAGAGGATACAAACACATACTTTGTCCTATTTATGCATGACGACGTGATACAATTTATATCAAACAACGTTCAGTCTCCAAATTTTTCAATCTTACTTTTGAAACGCCCTGTGTAATTTGTATATCCGATAATTTCATCAATTTGTGTATGATTTATTTTCTATTTTATTTTTGCATTTTTCTACTTTTGACCATAATGAAACAGTAAACATTAAGCAAATGACTGTGGACGGTCTCGCGAGCAAAATTATTCATTAGCATTCAAAATTTTGCAATCGAACGAGTCTCGAACCGTTCGCTAGAGCAAGAATCTTATCCGCGATGCGGAACGTGGAAAAATGCACCGAAGGAGCACGAGGAAACTCGCGGACTCGTTGCCTTTGTTATTACACGCTAGAACGGAGCAAGAGATGGACGAATTGACGTGCGATTACAGGTACGGCAGCGAATTGATGGTGGTGGAGTCGTACAGCGAGAACAACATGTCTGCGAGCATGATCGGCCGGCATTTGGATCGTTACTGGCTCGGGCTGGCCTCCCTGGACGATTTACGGACCAACACACTCGAATCAGCCGCTGGAATGCTCGTCTCCCAATACGCTGGTTTGTAAAATCACGTTTCGCTACCGAATCTTATTTTTCACTGGCTTTTGTGTAACCCCCTTTGGTGCCAAATATGAAATTTTCATAATACGAGGGTGAGAGAAAATTTCTGCGTATGAATGATAATTTTAGGTGCTGGAAACAACTGAAGTGTGCACAGTGAAATTACGGTTCACTCAACTCGTCGAGTGTTTCAACAATGAATCTCACTTTTCACTGATTTTTTAAATCCCCTTTGGCGCCAAATATGAAATTTTCATGACGCAAGGGGTGAAAGATGAATTCAAAGAAGACATTTTAGAAGTCTCTGATTTCTTAGAATCACTTCCCTAGAATTCTCTATAACAGCAACAATAGTTCGATCCGAAATTGTGAACTGGATTGACCGTTTTTCTAATGATCGAACACACGTGCAGGCCGGCCGGTTTCCATCGGGGTCACGGAAACGCGGAACTGCGCCTTGTATACGGCACGAAGACACACTTTTCCCACAACAATGCCCAGATACCGTCGCTTTTATGTCTGTCCCGGTGCAAGCAGCAATTTACTCGTCTGGCGCACAATATATTTGCATAACATTCTCCTTGCTAAAACTAACATCCGCTATCTACTGAAAAATTCTGTCGTTTTCTACGGTGACAAACGTAACACGCCTCGTAGATTCACCTAATTGTCCTGATAATCTATATAAACCTCAAGAATAAAAATTCTTTCAAATATTATTCTTAGAACACCGAGGATTGAAACATTAAGAATTAAAGTTTGAAAAAAATACAAAACTCCAAGTATCGAAATTGAGGAGATAGGCGCAAAAAGATGCGTGAAAATTCGCGAAACAAAACCTGTGAAAAAGTAATCAATACTTTCCTTAAAGTTATTTACATACGAGCATAATTTATTTAAGCAATCTACTTTACCTAAAATAGTCCGATATGGAGCAACGTAGACGTCAGAATGTAGAATCGTGAAAAATGACAAAATCTGTGACTAAACGAGCAAAATTTCCCCGAAATTCCATCGAACGAGAAGGACAGTGACATAGTGTGTTTCGGTATTCAGGTTTCTGGGCGTCGAGGCAGCCGAATCCACAATCAGGTGAATGCGTGGACGTCGCGTTGACGGATGACCGACAAACGTGGGAGCTGACCACGTGCGAATCGTTGCTTCCTTTCATGTGTCGCGCAAACGCCTGTCCAGCTGGTAAAATTCATACGTGACTGAAATCTATTCATTACCTATGCGCCATCGACTGTATAATTTAATTACGAAATTTCACGAATATTTCTCTAGGCTCGTTTCACTGTTCCAATGGCAAGTGCGTGAACTCAGCGTTCAAGTGCGACAAACAGGATGACTGTGGAGATTTTTCAGACGAGATAGACTGCCCGAATAATTGTCAGTACTATATGGCCAGCAGCGGGGACGTCGTTGAAAGTCCTAATTATCCTCACAAATATGCACCCCTCAGCAACTGCAAGTGGACCTTGGAGGGCCCTCAAGGCCACAACATCCTTTTACAGGTACATCCTTTTACGTGACGATAATGTTTTTCTCGTCGTCATTGTGAATTTTTCTTTCACTTGTGTGGAGTGGTTGAAAATGTACAATATTTTCTGGTCGAATAACTTGAGAAATTGGTAAGTTTCGTTTTAACGATTAGGCTGACTTCGTTGGCTAGTTTGCTGGAACGAAAGTGAGAGTTTGTGAACGTTTAACCCTTTCGTGAATTATTTTTTCCAATACATTTTTGCTTAAAGGTTTAATTTTTGTCCACTGGTCACGAAAGGGTTAAGGGGAGAATATTTTTGGGAGATATTGGGGAATCTGTTGGAAGAAAATATTGAACGTCAAAAGAAACGACTATTCAAGAAAAGAAAACGATAAAACTGTGCAAATTATTCCTTTTCTATTGTTAGAATATTAAAAAAAGAAATAATAATACAGACTGCAACAGAAATGTAAGAAAAATAGTACATACTATACTGCTATAGTCAATCAATTTTTCTTTTCTAGTTCCAAGAATTTGAAACAGAAAAGAGCTTCGACATAGTACAGATCCTTGTCGGCGGCAGAACGGAGGAAAAATCGGTGAACCTAGCTACCCTATCCGGCAAGCAAGAACTCAGCAATAAGCTATTCGTATCCGCTTCGAACTTCATGATCATCAAATTCAGCACAGACTCATCTGTGGAAAGAAAAGGTTTCCGCGCTTCTTGGAAGACAGAACCGCAAACTTGCGGTGGAATTCTTCGAGCAACGCCTCAGGGACAGGTGCTCACCTCTCCTGGATATCCTCAGAATTATCCTGGAGGATTAGAGTGCCTGTACATACTGCAGGCACAGCCTGGTCGCATAATGTCACTCGAGGTGTGTAACAGAAAAGAAGTAGAAGAATAACATAAAATTGTAATTTCTCTAAATGATGATAAAAAAGTAAACTTCAAGCTTCTCTGAATGATAACAAAAAGTATATTTAAAATTTTTGTGAACGACAATAGAAAACTGAATTTTTAATTTCTCTAAATGATCAAAAATTAAACCAAGTTTCTCAACCCTTTCTCTAGATCGAAGACTTGGACCTCGAAATGAACCGCGATTACATCCTAATCAGAGACGGAGATTCCCCAATGAGTAGACCAATAGCCAGACTAACGGGAAAATCAGAAGACAATCCCATAGTGATCATGTCGACCGGAAGTAACTTGTACCTTTACTTCAAAACAAGTCTCGGTGATTCAAGAAGGGGCTTCAGTATTCGATACACGCAGGGCTGTAAAGCAACGATCATTGCAAGAAATGGAACAGTTCAATCACCCTCGTTCGGTTTGAATGATTATCCTAACAACCAAGAGTGCTTGTACCGGGTGAAAAATCCTCAGGGAGGACCGCTGTCTTTAAAGTTTGTCAACTTCAACGTTCACAAGACTGATTTCGTGCAGGTAGTTAAGAATCAATTTATTCGTCAGTCTTAAAACATGGAGTTTATCGATGTTCTTTCGGCAGATATACGATGGTCCAAACACTAACGGCCTACGTTTGCATCCTGGAAGTGGATTCACGTCTAACACGAGGCCAAAAATAACTCTGACAGCTGAGAGTGGAGAGATGCTAGTCAGATTCACATCTGATGCTCTTCATAGTAGCTCGGGATGGCAAGCAGAGTTCTCAGCAGGTATCGCGATAATATCGAAACTGTTTCTAAACACAGGCAACCCTCGTGTAATACTCTAGCTGTAGGTACATATATCACAGAAGAGTGTATCTTAGAATTTTTTGAGAGAAAACGCATAGAACCATAGAGTGACAGAATCCAGTTTCATAAAGTCATTAAAGCAATCAGGCTTTAAACATAAGATTTGAATTTTTTGGTCATTCTTCGATTTTACAGACGACACAAATTGAGCAATATTCAGTGGCTTAGTAAATAACATTTGCCAAGTCTTCAAGTAATTTTGTTGAATAAGGTTTCGTTTCACATGATACACGAGGATTACCTGTATCGGCATATACAGAACTGTTCGATTTTCTAATATTCCTGGATTTTCACAGACTGTCCACAGCTTCAGTCGGGCGAAGGAGCACTGGCTTCCAGCAGAGACACAGCCTTTGGCACAGCAGTGACGTTCTCGTGTCCCCTGGGTCAAGAATTCGCCACTGGCAAGCCGAAAATCACCACAGAGTGTCTTCCTAGTGGAAACTGGTCGGTCACGTACATTCCAAAGTGCCAAGAAGTCTATTGTGGGCCAGTACCGCAAATAGATAATGGTTTCTCCATTGGATCTTCGAATGTCACCTATAAAGGCCTGGCTACCTATCAGTGTTACGCTGGATTTGCGTTCCCTTCTGGTAGACCTACTGAAAAGATCTCTTGTATGGCTGATGGAAGATGGGAGAAGAAACCATCCTGCTTGGGTAAAGCTCCAAATGAATTGGAACTACCTAACCTGCCATAAATTCTGTTACAAGTATATTTGATGATTGTTAAAAAAGGGAAAAAGTAGGAAATGTTATAATTTCTAATTAATCAGAATTTATCAATGCGTGTGGTAACGAAAAAATTCAAGGATATTATTTGAAATGACCACTCCTCACTTTGATATAAACTTACACTCACGATTTCTAGGAATATTCGACTCGTGAACTCGTGATAATTTTATTTACAAATGAACCCTCGCAGAATTTATGACAGGACTAGGCAAATTGAAGCTGTCTAAAGGTTTGAAGAAATGAAATCAGAAATGAAGCAAAAATGATTTTCACAGCATCTCAGTGTTCTCCACTTCCTGAAGCCCCACACTCTAACATAACAATTCTAAATGGCGGTGGACGAAGCTACGGGACAATTGTTCGATTCGAGTGTGAGCCAGGATACGTGAGAACTGGACATCCCGTGATTCTCTGCATGAGCAATGGTACCTGGTCCGACGAAGTGCCAACCTGTTCTCGTGAGTGTCCAATTGTATGCAACAGGTTGCAAAATCTACGCTCACGCTTTCTACTTCATGATATTCTCTCATGTAGGTGCTAAATGTTCGTTGCAACCCACGATCAAGAATGGTTTCGTTGTGGATAGCACCAGGGAGTACTTTTATGGCGATGAAGCCAGAGTGCAATGCAACAGGGGCTACAAGTTGTCTGGTTCTAATATTATACAGTGTGGACCTAATCAGAAATTCGATAACGTGCCTACTTGCGAAGGTGAGACTGGTTTATAAGCTTGAATTGAAGTTTACGTTATTTTCGTGAGCTTCGAACCTTTTAGCGTTACTTGTGACGATTTAATGAACGATATTCAATATTCGCTGCAATGTGTTTCAGACATAAACGAATGCGCATCGAGCCAATGCGACCTGGCCTCCACGGAGTGCATCAACAATCCTGGTGCATTCACTTGCAAATGCAAACCTGGCTTCGCTCCAACCATGGAATGCAGACCAATTGGAGATCTTGGGCTAATTAACGGCGGCATCCCGGATGAGTCGATCAGTGTGTCGAGTTCTGAGAACGGCTACACCAAAACAGTGAGTGTACAAAAATTTGGATTTCTTCCTGTATACTGTCATGACCGCAACGGTGACGCGGGCACCTCCTCCTCCGGGAGGAGGTGTGCCGGAGCGGTCGATGGCAGGTAACCTTGCCATCAAACAGTCATGCGACGAAAGTCTCATGAACCCGCAAGAGACTGAGCGTAAGCTGGTGACTCTTAACTGATTTCTTAACTGTGCATCCACTATGAAAGCCAGAGGAAAAAGTATCATCTTACGACGACGTCGACTGTCCGCGTAGATGGAAATCCGCGTAGTGTCAATTGTCGTATATTGTCGTTAGAATAATAACAAACGAAGTAGGTCGTGTGTAAAGTTATTTACTAAGAGACAGTGTTTTTCCAGAAAAGGATAAAATATGTATATGTCTCGGGGAGACAACAGTAAAAAAAACTAATTTGTTGTTGTTTCACAGCTATAACACATCTTATTGCAAGAAAAATAAACTTAGGATACGATAAAACGAAATTGTTGCAGTAACTAATCTAATTAGCTAAACGTAGGCTCTCCTCTATTTTAACTCAATCATTCGATTGTGTACGTATATATACATACATATTATTCACGCATACACATTCACGCATTCTCGTTTGATTTTTCTCCCAAGCAGAGCTGTTCGTTGTGTTCTTGAATTCGGTGCACTAGTTTCTTGTATGCAGCGGCACTTAATTCACACGAACGAATATGCTAAGTACGTAAATTGATTGGAAATCCGCGTATAATCGAAAACGCGTTGTTTGAGCGAGAACTGTATTCCGTACAAGACTATAATCGCGCAGTATAAGCGACGTTCGTCGAGGCACTCGTTCGACAGCCTCGTAAACACTGACTGAGGACGAGTCGTCCTGCCCGATTTCCGATCGCTGTACGCTCGCAACTGTTCTGGGAAAAATTCGAGGCCTTAACTTCTTAGAACTCGTTATATTTCTTGCGAGCCAAACATAAGAAACGCGAACCTGGGTCGCTGTACGTACATCGATCCAAACATAAAGCTAGCTGTCCTTTTCAGAGTAAAACTATCGCGAGCTGCTCTCGAGAGTAGACACTGCATCTGAGAGTGACTGTCTGAGAGCATCGCTCAACTCTCTGAGAGTTACGATTCGAATAAACAGTTGCTTTGCAAACACGAAGCAGTTTCGTATGCTTGACAGAACTCTCGTGCGAATAAAAAAATTAGTGGAGAAATGAAATCATCGGATTTGGGTCTTACTTTTTTATTGTATCCCTGTCGTGACGATTATTTTATTATATTTACGATAGTTTATTATAACTTTTATCACTTCGAGAATAAATAATTATCGGTTTCTGATTGCTTAGAATATAAGCATTGTGTCATCAAAGAATTCCTTGCATCAGATTAATTTGTCATTAATTATTTTTGGTCTTTATTAAACAGTAAAGTACAAACAAAAAGTACATATTGACTGTTATGCTGTAACGAAAAAGCAACCTCTTAAAGTCATTTCAATATCCTATTCGACAAGTCTGAAGAACAACGATGACTAAAATTCAAATGTTTATTTCCCTAAACCTTCAAAATAATTTCGAAATATTTTATTCGAAGCGGAGTATTCCAAGTCAGTATCGATAATTGAAGAAATTATTTGATTGTATTTAAAAGAACCGAAAGGAAAATATTCAATGTCTTATATTAAACGTCTAGCAAGTACCAGTATTTGGTAAAATGATTTATGTTTGTTATAAAAGGAAAATTTCTAATATGTATATTTAAAATGAATTGTTATCCAGTCTATAGTATTGAAATGACTAAAATACAAATTTTAATTTCCTAAATCGTCAAAATAATTTCGAAATATTTAATTCGAAGCGGAGTATTCCAAGTGAGTATCGCTAATTGAAGAAATTATATTATTGTATTTAAAAGAACCGAAAGGAAAATATTCAATGTCTTATATTAAACGTCTAGCAAGTACCAGTATTTGGTAAAATGATTTATGATTGGTATAAAAGGAAGATTTCTAATATGTATATTTAAAATGAATTGTTATCCAGTCTATAGTATTGAAATGACTAAAATACAAATGTTTATTTCCCTAAACCTCAAAATAATTTCGAAATATTTTATTCGAAGCGGAGTAATCCAAGTACCGCTAATTGAAGAAATTATTTGATTGTATTTAAAAGAACCGAAAGCAGAATATTTAAAGTCTGATATTAAATGTCTAGCAAGCACCAGAAATAATATAAATGATTCACATTTGTTATAAAAGGAAAATTTCTAATATGTATATTTAAAATGAATTGTTATCCAGTCTATAGTATTGAACTGACTAAAATTCAAATGTTTATTTCCCTAAACCTTCAAAATAATTTCGAAATATTTTATTCGAAGCGGAGTAATCCAAGTACCGCTAATTGAAGAAATTATTTGATTGTATTTAAAAGAACCGAAAGCAGAATATTTAAAGTCTGATATTAAATGTCTAGCAAGCACCAGTAATAATATAAATGATTCACATTTGTTATAAAAGGAAAATTTCGAATATGTATATTTAAAATGAATTGTTATCCAGTCTATAGTATTGAAATGACTAAAATACAAATGTTTATTTCCCTAAACCTCAAAATAATTTCGAAATATTTTATTCGAAGCGGAGTAATCCAAGTACCGCTAATTGAAGAAATTATTTGATTGTATTTAAAAGAACCGAAAGCAGAATATTTAAAGTCTGATATTAAATGTCTAGCAAGCACCAGTAATAATATAAATGATTCACATTTGTTATAAAAGGAAAATTTCGAATATGTATATTTAAAATGAATTGTTATCCAGTCTATAGTATTGAAATGACTAAAATACAAATGTTTATTTCCCTAAACCTCAAAATAATTTCGAAATATTTTATTCGAAGCGGAGTAATCCAAGTACCGCTAATTGAAGAAATTATTTGATTGTATTTAAAAGAACCGAAAGCAGAATATTTAAAGTCTGATATTAAATGTCTAGCAAGCACCAGTAATAATATAAATGATTCACATTTGTTATAAAAGGAAAATTTCGAATATGTATATTTAAAATGAATTGTTATCCAGTCTATAGTATTGAAATGACTAAAATACAAATGTTTATTTCCCTAAACCTCAAAATAATTTCGAAATATTTTATTCGAAGCGGAGTAATCCAAGTACCGCTAATTGAAGAAATTATTTGATTGTATTTAAAAGAACCGCACTTCGGCGGGTCCTTATATACCTGCGGTACCCCTACCCCAAAGTCATTAGCGAAGTCGTTAGTAAGATTGGGCGCGAAACCTTGTTTTCGCGGGAAACGGACTACTTTTCGCGGGAGATCGATCACTTTGCGCGGGAAATCGATAAATTCTAATTGATTCTAATGTATACAAGTGTTACAAGAAGGCTGAGTGTGTACAGGGTGGACATAGACTAGCTAGTAGCCCCCGACCACTCTATTCACATCTCAGAACCTTCAGGTCAAAATACGCCGCGAAGTGTCTAGGGCCCAGTATAAAGGGTGAATAAGTTCGCGGGACATCGGTGGGTCCTTATATACCTGCGGTACCCTCTCCCCAAAGTCATTAGCAAAATCGTCGGTTAGGTCAGGCGGGAAATTTTCGCGGGAAATTTTCGCGGGAGATTTCTGTTATCGTAACACGGTATAATTTATCAATTTTCACAATTTTGTTATAAATTTATACTTCCGACAATTTGTTATAACATTGCATATAACAATTTATACGTTTTTACAATATTCTTCAATGGAAACATAGGTTTTAGCGTTCTCGTTACTTACTCGTGGTTAAATTAATTTCGTAGGGATTAAAAATCAGGTTGACCTGTGGTCGTAGATTAAATATAACTATAGTACAGCTAAATTTATCGAGTTAATTAATTCTTCTTACACGAATCAAAAATGTATTCAATGTTTGTTTGTTATAATATCGTGAAATGAATTATATTACACATTTTCTCTATTCACACTGAATTTAAAGATTATAACGATTAAAAATCAAGTTGGCCTGTGGTCATTTATCAAGAATAATCATAATAAAGCTGAAATTATTGTGTTAAATAATTTTTTTAATACGAATTAGGAATTTATTCAACGTTTGCTTGTTACAATACCATGAAATAAATTATATTATACGCTTTCTATATTTACATTAAATTTATCGTTCTATTTACATGTCATAACAATTATAACTACACGTTATGCTGCGTCCGTTTGTTTTTTCTGTGCAGTTCAACCTAATTTACTTAAATTTACGTTGCGAGACAGTATAATATTTACAATTCTGCCTGAATTTTTGAAATTCAGAAAAACACAGGTAAACTTCCATTGCATTTAAACGATATTCTCCACCAAACTGGACAAAGTATGTATGTTTACGAACAGACCATTATCCGAAGAAAACGAGACGGAATATTAAGTTATAAGTTTGGTCATACTCTTACCTTGAATCGCATTTCTCATAACTTTCCCATCATTTCCGGGAAAAATGACATTTTTCGTACCTTAGAATGCGTAGAATCATGCTGTAACAAAATTTTTCATTCCGGCCGTATGCCAAAATTGGCCTTTTCTTAACATCCTCCTTTGTCTCTAAGGGTGTTCGTTTGAACAATGGCGACGGATGGTGTGGCAACAACATCGAGCCAGGCACAAACTGGATGATGATCGACATGAAAGCTCCGACTATCATTCGTGGCTTCAGAACGCAAGTTGTGTCAAGAGTAGATGGAAATGTAGCATACACTTCGGCAGTTCGAATCCAATACACGGACGATCTGACAGACACCTTCAAAGACTACACGAATCCTGACGGTACACCGGTAGAATTCAGAATATTAGAACCAACTCTATCTGTTCTGAATCTACCAGTTCCCATCGAAGCTCGTTACGCGAGGTTCAGAATTCAAGATTACGTCGGTGCACCCTGCATGAAGCTCGAGATCATGGGATGCACTCGTCTGGAGTGTACAGATATCAATGAATGTGCCACTAATAACGGTGGCTGTCATCAAAAGTGTATCAACAATCCTGGCAGCTACTCTTGCATGTGCAACACTGGCTACGAGTTGTACAAAGGGAACGGAACAGCTGGGTTCTACATAGAGAAGCACGAGAACGGCGAAAGGGATGGAGACTTGTATCAGAAGAATAAGACTTGCGTGCCTGTTATGTGTCCTGCTTTACCTGCTCCTGATAATGGAAAGATCCTGTCGACCAAGCAACAACATCATTTCGGTGATTTAGTGAGGTTCCAGTGCAACTTTGGCTATGTACTTTCTGGATCATCAGCTGTTACTTGTACGTCCAGTGGAGCTTGGAATGGAACCACTCCAGAGTGTCAATGTAAGTCGAACTTCAATCCAAATTATCGAGATTTCGTTCTAACTTTGAATCTCTGAATTACTGGCATTTAACTCAAATCATAGACACATCGTCGATAAATCTTCCCAGAACAATAGTAGAGGAACTTTTATAAATAACTTGCCATACATCTGTACTTGTTTCCTATATCCTAACGTATAAAGACTATCTAAATGGTGATAATAATAATAAAGTACCCTATAAAAAATGTTCCCACAGATGCCAAATGCGTGTCCCTGCCGGACGACAAGAACGAGGGACTCTCAGTAATTCGCAGCGATGAAGCAAGCGTTCTAGTACCATTCAAACAAAACGTGACGCTAAAATGTGGCAGTAATGGTCGATACCTACGAAACACAGCTACCTCAGACTTCCGCCAGTGCGTCTATGATCCGAAACCAGGCCTACCAGACTACTGGTTGTCAGGATTCCAGCCAGCCTGTCCAAGAGCTGACTGTGGAAAGCCTCTGCCAACACCTGGAGCGGAATACGGCCAATATCTAGACACCAAATACCAATCGTCCTTCTTCTTTGGCTGCCAAGACACCTTCAAGCTAGCTGGACAAACCAATCGTCACGATAACGTGGTCAGGTGTCAGGCGAATGGAATCTGGGACTTTGGTAACCTTCGATGCGAAGGTCCAGTCTGTGAAGATCCTGGACGACCAAGCGATGGCTTCCAGGTAGCCAGAAGCTACGAGCAAGGTTCAGAGGTGCAATTTGGTTGCAGCAGACCAGGATACATTCTGATTAATCCTCGACCAATTGTCTGCGTTCGAGAACCAGAATGCAAGGTTGTTAAACCACTGGGATTGGCTTCTGGACGAATTCCAGACTCAGCTATCAACGCAACGTCAGAGAGGCCTAACTACGAGGCTAAGAACGTTCGTCTGAACTCTGTGACCGGTTGGTGTGGCAAGCAAGAGGCGTTCACTTACGTGAGCGTCGACTTAGGACAGGTTTTCAGGGTGAAGGCGATTTTGGTGAAAGGTGTGGTGACGAATGACGTGGTTGGTAGACCAACAGAGATTCGATTCTTCTACAAACAGGCTGAAATTGAGAATTACGTAGTCTATTTCCCTAATTTCAACTTGACCATGAGAGATCCTGGAAATTATGGCGAACTGGCGATGATCACTCTGCCTAAATATGTCCAAGCTCGTTTTGTCATCTTGGGGATAGTTAGTTACATGGATAATGCTTGTTTGAAGTTCGAATTGATGGGATGCGAGGAGCCAGTGGCGGAACCATTGTTGGGTTACGATTACGGCTTCTCGCCTTGTGTGGACAATGAGCCACCAGTGTTCCAGAATTGCCCTCAACAGCCTATAGTTGTACAAAAGGGAGCTGATGGAGGATTGTTGCCTGTGAACTTCACTGAACCTTCTGCTATCGATAACAGTGGAAGTATTGCTCGATTGGAAGTGAAGCCTCATAGTTTTAGGACACCGCTTAGAGTATTTGAGGACTCAGTGGTGAAATATGTGGCGTTCGATTATGATGGAAATGTTGCTATTTGCGAGATTAATATCACAGTACCTGGTCAGTATAGAATTCACTTTTCTTACTACAGAAAGTTTTGCATTTAAATAAAAAATTGTTAACGTTAAAACGTTTGTATTTTTCTAACTATTCGCAGATGTAACTCCACCAAAACTTAGCTGCCCTCAAAGCTACGTTATAGAACTGACAGAGAAGCAAGAGAGTTACTCTGTCAACTTCAACGAAACTCGCAGAAGGATCAACGCAACTGATGCTTCTGGACCAGTGAAAATCACGTTCGTTCCGGAAAGAGCAGTGATACCAATTGGTGGCTTCGAGAATGTGACTGTTTATGCGACAGACACAAGTGGTAATAGAGCTTCTTGTCACTTCCAAGTGTCTGTACAAGCGACACCTTGCGTCGATTGGGAGCTGAAACCGCCTGCTAATGGAGGACTTAAATGTGTTCCTGGTGACAAAGGAATTCAATGCATCGCTACTTGTAAAAACGGCTTCAGATTCACCGATGGTGCCCCAGTGAAGACATTCGCTTGTGACATTATCAAACATTGGTCTCCCTCTTCCGTTGTTCCTGATTGTGTCTCAGAAAGTGAGTTTTCTAATTTTTTAAATTCAGCTTACTTTTTAGAATGTGTCTATAGGAATATTTCAAATATATTTGTTTAAATTTGTAGACACACAACAGGCAAATTACCACGTGGTAGCAGCAGTGACCTATCGTGCGAATGGCGCGGTTTCTAGATCCTGTCTACCTCAGTACCAAGATCTAATGTCTCAGTATTACATGAACTTGAACAATATCCTGACTCAACGTTGCTCTGCTGTTAACGTGAACATGAACGTGTCATTTGTGAGATCTGTGCCTTATTTAATGGAAGAAAACGTCTTGAAGGTGGCTATCTTAGACGACGATTTAAAAAGTGCCTGATCAATAAGTCGCTAATGATGTATATGTAAATTTCAGATGGACTTCATTCTCGTAATCGTCCCAGCCATACGCCAGCCTCAATTATACGATCTCTGTGGATCTACGTTAAATCTGATCTTCGATCTATCAGTTCCCTCCACCAGTGCAGTCATAGAACCTCTGCTAAACGTTTCTGCTATTGGAAACCAGTGTCCTCCACTTCGAGCCCTCAAATCCTCCATCACGCGAGGCTTCACCTGTAGCATTGGTGAAGTTTTGAACATGGACACCAACGACGTTCCACGATGCCGTGAGTAGACTTAGAATTTTCATTTTTGAAATTGTCAACAAAAGTTCTAGTTCCCTTTATTCCCACTTCTAGTACACTGTCCAGCTGGAACGTTCGCTGGAGAGAAACAGAAACAGTGCACATCCTGTCCCAAAGGCTTCTACCAGAACAGTGATCGTCAGGGATCCTGTTTGAGGTGTCCATTCGGTACATACACTCGAGAAGAAGGCTCTAAGAGCATAGACGACTGTATACCAGTCTGTGGATATGGTACATACTCTCCCACAGGACTGGTACCTTGTCTAGAGTGTCCTAGAAATAGCTACACAGGAGAACCACCAGTTGGCGGCTACAAAGACTGTCAGACTTGCCCAGCAGGCACTTTCACGTATCAACCAGCTGCACCAGGTCGAGATAGGTGCAGAGGAAAATGCTCGCCTGGCATGTACTCTGACACAGGGCTGGCTCCTTGTGCCCAGTGTCCAAAAGATTTCTTCCAGCCTCAACATGGAGCTACCACTTGCGTCGAATGTCCAACGAACATGTACACCGATGGTCCAGGGGCTGTTGGAAGGGAAGAGTGCAAGCCAGTGCAGTGTACTGACAGCGTATGTCAACATGGAGGCTTGTGTGTTCCCATGGGACATGGAGTTCAGTGTCTCTGTCCAGCTGGTTTCTCAGGAAGACGTTGTGAAATTGACATCGACGAATGTGCCTCTCAGCCTTGTTACAACGGAGCCACTTGCATCGATCTGCCACAGGGTTACAGGTGTCAGTGTGCCAATGGCTACTCTGGGGTCAATTGCCAGGAGGAGAAGTCGGATTGTAGCAACGAGACGTGTCCTGAGAGGGCTATGTGCAAAGACGAGCCCGGATTTAACAATTACACCTGTCTCTGTCGATCTGGGTACACTGGAGTCGACTGTGACATCACTGTGAGTTATTTTTAATGGTAGCTTTGGAACAACGGTGAGCAGATTCTAGCTTGGACCAAAAATAACAATTTCTTCAATTTTCCAGATAAATCCTTGCACAGCAAGTGGAAATCCTTGCAACAACGGTGCCACGTGCGTAGCTCTTCAACAAGGCCGCTACAAATGTGACTGCCTGCCAGGCTGGGAGGGTCAGAGCTGCGAGATCAACACTGACGACTGTGCTGAGAAGCCTTGCTTACTAGGAGCCAATTGCACAGACTTGGTAGCTGACTTTAGCTGTGACTGTCCTCCAGGATTCACCGGCAAACGTTGCCACGACAAGATAGATCTTTGTTCAGGCAATCCCTGTCTGAATGGAATATGCGTAGACAATCTGTTCAGCCACGAGTGCATCTGTCACCCAGGATGGACAGGCACAGCTTGTGAGACCAATATCAACGAATGTTCTGGCAAACCTTGCAGAAACAATGGCCAGTGTATCGATCAGGTCGATGGATACACTTGCACATGTGAACCAGGCTACACAGGCAAACAGTGTCAGCACACTATCGACGACTGTGCCTCTGATCCCTGTCAGAATGGAGGAACCTGCGTAGATCAATTGGAAGGATTCGTCTGCAAGTGCAGGCCAGGTTTCGTTGGTCTTCAGTGTGAAGCTGAACTGGACGAATGTCTCAGTGATCCTTGCAGTCCAGTTGGCACTGATCGTTGCGTCGACTTGGACAACACTTTCGTTTGCCACTGCCGTGAGGGCTACACCGGATCTGCCTGTGAGATTAACATCGACGACTGTGCTTCTGATCCTTGTCTGAATGGTGCTACATGCAGAGACGAAGTTGGTGGCTTCAAGTGTATGTGCCCTGAGGGTTGGACTGGAGTCCACTGTGAGATTGACGTTGGAATGTGCCAGAATCATCCTTGTCAAAATGATGCAGCTTGTGTTGACTTATTCGTGGATTACTTCTGCGTGTAAGTATGAAGTTAGAATTGTACGACTTGTCGGAGGTTTAGATTGTTCTTAACGTCTCGTTTTGTTAAATAGCTGTCCATCAGGAACAGATGGAAAGCAGTGTGAAACTGCACCAGAACGTTGCATTGGAAACCCTTGCATGCACAATGGGCGTTGCCAAGACTTTGGATCAGGACTTAACTGTACTTGTCCTGACGACTATACTGGAATCGGGTGCCAGTATGAGTACGATGCTTGTCAGGCTGGTGCCTGCAAAAATGGCGCCACTTGTGTCGATGATGGTGCTGGTTTCACTTGTGTTTGTCCACCAGGATATACAGGTGAATGATTAATGAATTATATAATTGTCATGGTAATACTAGAAATCGTAAACAATGATATAATTATGTTGCATAGGTAAAACATGTGAGGATGACATAATCGACTGCAAGGAGAACTCGTGCCCTCCTTCAGCGACCTGCATCGATCTTACTGGAAAATTCTTCTGCCAGTGTCCTTTCAATTTGACTGGTGACGATTGTAGGAAATGTAAGTGTTAATTATGCAGGAACGTAGAAATTATAATTTATATCAAATAATTTATATCAAAAATTTTTTCAGCCATCCAAGTGGATTACGATTTATACTTTAGCGATCCAGCGCGCAGTAGCGCGGCTCAAATCATTCCATTCTTCACTGGAGCAAGAAAGAGCTTAACTGTGGCCATGTGGGTACAATACACTCAAAAAGATGAAGCTGGAATATTCTTCACTCTCTATGCCGTCAGGTAGACTCTCAAATTGCTAATTCTTCAGTTAAAACCTCTTTGATTGCAACGTTTTAATGCACATTCAATATTATTCTAGCTCTCCACACGTTCCAACAAATCGAAGACTCATGATCCAAGCGCACAGCAATGGCGTCCAAGTGTCTCTGTTCCACGACTTGCAAGATGTCTATTTGCCATTTAGGGAGTATGCAACGATTAACGATGGTCAATGGCATCACGTTGCTGTAGTTTGGAACGGTGAAAATAGTGGAGAATTGGTTCTCATCACTGAAGGTCTAATTGCTAGTAAAACCGAAGGCTACGGAAGTGGAAGATCTCTACCAGCTTAGTAAGCCAACTCAACATTCACTCAGAACCATAAGTCTCAATGTTTCTCTCATAAATCTAACTTTTTCATTCGATACATCTACACGGAATCAGGATTCCAGGGACACTTGACCAAAGTTCAAATCTGGAGTCGAGCTCTTCATGTGACAAACGAGATTCAGAAACAAGTTCGAGACTGTCGTACGGAACCTGTACTTTATCAAGGACTGGTGCTAACATGGGCAGGCTACGATGAAACTGTCGGAGGTGTAGAACGAGTGGTACCATCGCACTGTGGTCAAAGAGTGTGTCCGCCTGGTTACGGTGGCAGCAAGTGTCAACAGTTGGAATCTGACAAGATTCCACCGAAAGTGGAACACTGTCCAGGTGATCTTTGGGTGATTGCTAAGAATGGCTCGGCTATAGTCAGCTGGGACGAGCCAAGATTCGTGGACAATGTTGGCATAGCGAAGATCCAGGAGAAGAATGGACACAAGTCTGGGCAAACTTTGATGTGGGGAACTTATGATATTAGTTACGTGGCTTATGATCAGGCTGGTAACTCGGCCAGTTGCAATTTCAAGGTCTACGTGTTGTGTAAGTCTTAAGTTTGTTATTATATTTAGGGCTTTTACATTTTGCAATATTTATGACATGAAAATGTTCTCTTTCTTCAGCTGACTTCTGTCCAGAGCTTGCTGATCCAATTGGTGGCACGCAACAATGCAAAGATTGGGGCTCGGGTGGCCAATTTAAAGTCTGTGAAATCTTCTGCAATACTGGACTCAGATTCTCCCAAGAAGTTCCTAAATTCTACACTTGTGGAGCTGAAGGCTTCTGGAGGCCAACGAACGATCCATCTCTTCCACTGATCTATCCAGCTTGCACAAGTAAATCACTCAATTTCTTTACTTTTCTATTATATTTAATACTGTAATTTATTTTAATATTATTTTCTGTGTTGTTCAGGCGCCACAGCAGCTCAGCGTGTATTCAGAATCAGAATGAACTTCCCAACGTCTGTGCTCTGCAACGAAGCTGGACAGGGAGTGCTCAAGAAGAAAGTTCGAGACGCCGTGAACTCTTTGAACAGAGATTGGAACTTCTGCTCGTACTCGTTCGAAGGTAAATCATATTTTTACCACTCAATACAGAAAATGCGAATAATACAGTATTTAAAGAAAAGAAGAAAGAAGAAATAGAAACGAATATTTTACATTTCCTTCTCTGTAGGATCTCGAGAGTGCAAGGAGTTGCAAATCGACGTCCAATGCGATCATCGCGTGCGCACCACGAGGGAAACGAACGAGGAAGATGGCGGAACGTACATAATCTCTGCGGTAGTTCCAGCAGAACCGTAAGTCGTCCTTTTTTATTCTTTCGAAATTTCTCAACAGATTGTAAACGCTTTTTAATTAGAAAATGAATAAAAAGTCGAAAGTTTCATTTCGACGCGGTATCTGATGTTCAGTTAGCCTCTAGTAGTAGTTACCAAACAGCTTCGAAATCAGCCAAATTGAAATGAGAAAAGATTAGTATACTGAGCCTGTATTACTTGTGTTGCATCGCAGAACGAGACAAGCGCGGCAAGGCAGCGATACCTACGAGGTGGAGATCTCGTTCCCAGCGATAAAGTAAGGACAGCACAAACGAATTTACGCCACGTGCGAAACGTATCTCATTGTACATGTGTTCTCGTCATACGGTGCTCGGTGTTATCCGGCATAATCATCTCTCACCATTTATACAAATTGCGAATTCGAACCATGAACCATTTTACCATACGCATACGAAATCGACAATGCATGAAAACGTACACCGAACAAAACTATATCATAACGTTACTAAAACGAACTAATTAGACTCTAGTTAGCTCTCTCCTGAGGTGACGAGGAACCATTATTCTCCATGTGACCATATTGTGTATTTTAAGGAGGGAAAAAAAAAATGATACATGGTCGATTCTTAATCAGTTGTCGCTATGATATCGTTGTTTTTTTTTAAGAATTCGAAATTTTGACTATACAGAAGTAAAACACTGGTATGCACGTTGTTACTAACTGTTCACACGGGACAGACTAGTTGAATGGGACACTTAACTAGGGACAAACGAATCGATAGTAGAATAACAACGTAACTCGGAACAGTATAACACCTGACTTGCAACCAAGCTGTTCGGTTGAATCTTCGATAATCATTCAGTAACCGTTGAAAAATATAAATTTTTTCCTTTGATGTAATATTCAATTGGCACACACATTCAAAGTTCCAGAAATTCAGTATAATTGCTTTTCTATCCAAATTAATTATTTTGGTCAAATTTGTTTACTCCGATTGATTCTTCGACGATCATTCGGTAACCGTTGAAAAATCTGTTGGAAAATTTTTACGAAAACAATATTTTCCAAAATTTCCTTTAATGCAATATTTCTAAAAGTGCGAAAAATTCAGTATAACTGCTTTTTTACCAAAATTAAATATTTTGGTAGAATTCTTTTACTCGATAAAACGTTTGAATATTTTTCCTCGAGGAACTTTTAAGATTCTCTTTAGAGAATCAAGAAATCTGTGTCAAGGAGCTCGATTACCAAACAGCTTTGGTCCACTACAACAGAACATTACACCGATACAAAAACACTCTGCCACAGACATGTAATACATTAGGGTCCCAGGATGTCTTGAACATATTAAAACATTACGTAGGTACATAAGATTAATGGGTGTCGATAAGTGACACTAAGCTGGCCAGGAACCAATGGAAAGGCTGCCTGATTACCTCCGCCTTCAGATAACGGCTGTATATACTTGCGCATACTCTCCTTTGCCTGTCGCTAAAATAGACACTCCATCGGTTTACAGTTTGTTAATAACATTGTGTATTTTATAGCGACCCGATTTTGAACGCGAACTCGAACGAGAGGGCAACTGTTCAAACGTTACTGGAGAGGCTGATCCTGGAGGAAGATCAATTCGATGTTCATGATATTCTGCCTAACACCGTGCCTGATCCAGCATCTCTGATTTTGGAGTCTGATTATGATTGTCCGGTGGGACAGGTCGTTATGGCACCTGATTGTGGTGAGTTTTTTATCGATGATCTTTCAGAAAATCGTTGTCATAGACTGTAAAGTGTTGAAGGTAGATAGGTAAAATTTCAAGAAATATGATCACATTTTTTCAAAAAATTATTAGAGTAGACCTGAACCTTCTAGATTAAAATAAAAACAGAAGTGAACTAAATTCGACAAATAATTTTCCAGATCAAATTTTTTAACACAACTCACTTTCATGAAAATAGGCAAAAATTGTAAAATTGGAACACCCATGTTTTTCAAAAAAATTCGAAACCAGCAAAATGATGACTTAAATCCCTCCTAATTTCACGTGGACTACATCATATCTCATTTTAAACAAGATCTCTCGTGTAGAATTCATCATGAAACGACACTTCTTTCTTCCCTCAAATTACAGTACCCCATTTTCACGAAAATAGGCAAAAATTGTAGAACTCTAAAATCCATGCTTTCATAAAAATTCGAAATCAGCAAAATGATGACTTACAATTAGACGTCGACGAAATGATGTTTCATTCTAAACAAAATCCTTCACATCGGCGTGAAAAAGTGATCAGTCTTTCATGAAATAACCCATAATCTTTTCTCGCGATTTCTCCTGAAACGACCCTTCTTTCTTTCCAATTCATCACGAAATGACCCTTCTTTTCTCCCTCAAATTAGTGCCCTGCGCCGTGGGAACGTTCTACGACGAAGAAACGAAGCAGTGCCTGTCCTGTCCGGTCGGAAGCTACCAAAGCGAGTCGGGACAGCTGAAGTGCAGTTCCTGTCCCGTGATCGCTGGTCGTCCCAGCGTGACAGTAGGGCCAGGTGCTCGTAGTGCAGCTGACTGCAAGGAAAGATGTCCTGCAGGAAAGTACTACGACGACATAGCGGGTCTCTGTCGAAGTTGTGGCCATGGTTTCTATCAACCTAACGAAGGTAGCTTCTCTTGTCTGCTATGTGGACTTGGAAAGACCACTAGAACAGCTGAAGCTGTCTCTCGAGAGGAATGCAGAGACGAGTGTGGCTCTGGACAACAATTGGCCGTGGAAGGAAAATGCGAACCTTGTCCAAGAGGAAGTTACAGGACGCAAGGAGTGCAAGCTGCCTGTCAGGCGTGTCCTGTGGGCAGGACGACACCAAACATGGGCTCTGCAGCGATAGAAGAGTGCTCTTTACCTGTATGCGAGCCTGGAACCTATCTGAATGGAACTTTGAACGAGTGTATGGAGTGCAAGAAGGGAACGTATCAGTCAGAGCCTCAGCAGACTTTCTGTATTCCTTGTCCCCCTAATACTAGCACCAAAGGAACCGTGGCGGTAAGTTTCTTTTCTGGAGAAATATTGGATTTAGATGATTCTGTGTTTGCGTTTCTTGGGATGATTAATATTTGAGATTTTTCTAAAGTTCTGGAGTTTGAAAAAATGAATTTTAGAGTGATGTGGATGGAGTAGATATTAAAAATGATCGTTTACGCCTATCTCCTTTTCTTGAATGATTAATATTTTACGTCATTAATAGTTTACGTCAGTTACCTACCAATTAGCTACCTTTTTTACAATTTTCTTAAGTTTTTATGGAGAATGAAAAATATAATCACTTTGTGATTGAAGTTTTCCTTAATTTCTATGGTCTTCGATATTAATTCCTTCGTTATTTATCAGCGTTTGAAAATTTCTCTTCTCAAAACTTGCCTCTTCTTTCAAAATTAGACCAGCAAAGCGGATTGTACGAACCCCTGCGAGACCAGCGACGCAGAAATGCACTGCGACGCGAACGCTTATTGCCTACTAATTCCGGAAACGAGCGACTTCAAGTGTGAATGCAAACCTGGATACAACGGAACTGGAACAGAATGTACGGACGTGTGCATGGGCTACTGTGACAACGAAGGAGTGTGCCTCAAGGATTCGCGAGGACAACCGTCTTGCAGATGCAGCGGAAGCTTCACTGGAAAACGATGCACAGAAAAGTCAGAATTCTTCTACATCACTGGTGGTATCGCTGGTGGTGTCATTCTGATCATCTTCGTCGTTCTTCTTGTATGGATGATCTGTGTCAGGTTAGTAGAATCAAAAATAACTTCCTTTGTTGGGAAAAGGTTTTGAAAAATTTCCAAAGAATTTTTTAACACTGTGGAAACCATTAATTGTACGACACTAGTGCGGGATATTCTTCTATCAACTCTCGTACCGTGTAAAAATTAACATAAAAGAAAAAGCATAAAAAAGTATGAAAAGATCTTCAATCCCTAAAAAGGTAGAACAAGGAAGGAAGTAAAGAAATTAATCATTCTGAAATAATTTGAATATTAGCACAGATAAAAGAAAACCTAAAGAAACGAGAAAGAAACAATTCAGCGCATAAAAAGTAGAACCAAAATTCCGGAAACTTAAGAAACAAGTTTCAATGCTTTCAGAAATGTACATAGAAGGCAATCTTCTCTCGACAATTTTGTATTTAAATTTCATCCAGTTTCAACCATGAAACTTTTTCCCACAGAGCCTCCAGAAAGAAGGAACCGAAGAAAATGCTCACACCAGCGACAGACCAAAATGGCTCCCAGGTGAACTTCTATTATGGCGCACCCACACCGTACGCAGAGTCGATCGCGCCTTCCCACCATAGTACCTACGCTCACTATTACGACGACGAGGAAGACGGCTGGGAAATGCCCAACTTTTACAACGAGACCTACATGAAAGGTGAGCATAAAAACTCGAGGCATTCCGTGAAAGGAGCGCCCGTTAAAGTTCCACGACTTTCACGAGTTCTCTTTCCTCGTCTTCTTCCAGAGAGCTTGCACAATGGCAAGATGAACAGTCTCGCTCGCTCCAACGCCAGCATTTATGGCACGAAAGACGACCTTTACGACAGACTGAAGCGTCACGCGTATCCTGGCAAGAAAGGTTGGTACCACAATCCAAGCAACATTCCTCCCTTCCCATTTCCAACAGCGGCAGAAGTTTGTAAAATATTTCTCAAGTCGTATTTTTTTTTTTCTTTTCTTCTTTTAATGTGACACTTTTAGTACCTTGGATCCGTACGAATTTTACACAAGGTGTTTTAAAAAATCTTTAAAAGATTACGAACGCGAAGTTTTCACGTAGATTCACCTCTTTTAGATAATACTATCAGCCTGTATAAGTAAGTTAGATAATAGGAAGATCCCTATGACGATAAATTTTTCGTATCTAAAGGTCAAGTTGCAATAGGTAGTTGGATTCGTGTTGACGTCATCTCTGGCGCATTATTAATAGAAATGACACACTCGATAATTATTCTACTCGTCCTTCCTCGCCCACTTTTCGAAAAGAACCGCAAACAGTCAGCCCTTTGCACTCCAACGGCGTCATATTTCCATTAAAATTTTTTTTACATTAAAATTAACTCAAACTATCTAAAAGAAAAGAAAAATCGATCCGTAAACACTTATAACTTCTTGTTTTAAAAAGCAACATTTTTGATTCGCAAAAATCTATCGTATCGAGAAATGGTCCAAAAATGTAAATACGTAGTTGAATAGCTCCGGTGAAGAAAAAATTTCTAATGAAACTCTAAATAGGTTCGTAAATGTATTTGCAGACAAGAGCGACAGCGATAGCGAGGGCCAGTGACCATGATGAATGACCAACGTTCTACCAGCGTAGAATTCAAAGAAGCAAAAAAATTATCATATCGACGTCCCTGAGATACCGGCGTAAAGAACAAGGGTGGGGAGGGGATGTCAACCCATCGTCGAAACCGATTTATTTATTAATTCCCAGACGAGGATTGTACCCAGCGGCGCGCTGTTCGAGTGTATTCGTCGAGCGGGAAATGAATAAGAGAAAGAAAAAGAGAGAAAAAAAAAAGCAGAAATCTATCGAATCGAACTCGTGGAATCACTCGAACATGTGTAAGGAAGCGTCGAGAACGTGTACAATACGGAAACGACGTTGCGTTGATCGACGGATCTGAAAGACGACCGAGTCCTGGAACGACGATCTATCGTTCGAATTGGATCGTTGTTTCGGCACTCATACGCACGATCGATCAACGGGATCGAGAAACACGAGGCGACGTTTCGCGATGAAAAGACTACACAAGCGTGAGGTTGTAATTTTTTGTAATTTATAATACCACCTAGCCTTTAGTTAAGGATCTTTTTTTTTTTTCTCTATCATTCGATTAACTCTCTGTCCCTATCTCTGTCACTCCTTACCGATTAACGAGACGCGAACGAGAGAACAAGTGTGTGCATGTATGTTAATACAGTCCCCCAAACAGTTATACATAAGCGAATTTATATTTTGTTACTATAGTTAAACACGTGTAACACACTCGCTGTAATATAAAAGGAACAGAAAAAGAAATAAAAATGTGTAGGCGCACAGCGGCGGGGAAGAAAAATCAAAAAAAAGGAGCGAAAGAACAGATCGCGGATGTACATTGATACCTTAATGCCTACCAAGCTGTTTTCCACTTGTATTTGTAAAAACTTTTAACAAACGGTTGTTTTTTTTTTTTTTATTAATAAAATGTATTACAACAAGATACTGAGTTTGATTCATTTTTGTTACCCTTATCCCTACGATTATCCCTAGCGATTTTCCTTAGGACAGAATCGAACCTTTCGATTTCGATATTTTCTCGTTGAATTTCAGAGGGATCACCCTGTACACATTTTTCTTTTTCCTCAAATACGAAATCGTTCCAGACACCATCGTCACGTATAATCGATGAGAAGTGTTTTCTCGTGTTCTCCACGTGCTATTCTCGTTACTCTTATTCTACGATTATCCTAGCGATCTTTCTTCGACAGATACAAACCTTTCGATTTCAATAGTTTTTCGTGTAATTTTCGAGAGATCGCCCTGTGTGTTCTTTTCTTCAAACACGAAATCGTTCCAGACACTATCGTCACGTATAATCGATGATAAGTGTTTTCTCGTGTTCCTCACGTGCTACCTTCCTTATCCTACGATTATCCTAGCGATTTTTCTTCGATAGAATCGAACCTTTCGATTTCAATAGTTTTTCGCTTAATTTCAGAGGAATCACCCTGTACATTTTGTCCTCAAACACGAAATCGTTCCAGACACTATCGTTATGTACACTCGATGATAAGTGTTTTCTCGTGTTCTCCACGTGCTCTTCGAAGAATTTATTCAGATGAACAGTCTTATTGTAATTGTTTTCTTTTTCCAAGTTCTGCTCGATTTCGTCAGACTGGTCCTCGTCGTTATCATCGGTACTGATATCTGATTCGTCGGAGCTGATAAAATAGTCGTCGTCTTCGGTGCTCGTTGATTCTATCGGTGACAAAAAAAAAAGAATCTTCTAAATGCGATTGATAAATTCACGAAAGTATTGCTGTGTAAACACGTTCTATGAATCATGGTACCTTTCGTAGAACTGCTTGTCATTAATTTCAACAGCAGCTGTAATGATTGAAGCGCTCATTGTTCTCATCGTTCGTTTATAATTACTACAATTATCGTGTTACCTTAACGCGGCTCGTGAAATCCGCAGAATCTGTTTTGTGCATTACGAGTTACGGTGTAAATGTTTATTCAGCTTCAAGTATCAGGTTCCACCGGATTGATTGATTAATTGAAATATTTTTCAGTTAACTACATTTTGTTTTATTTTATTGGAAACATTTTTTTTTTTGGGGGGAGTTTGGATGGAGGTGAATGGTGAAATGAATTTACAGTCGTCAGTTTATTGTTTCGATTCTGAACATTTCGATATAAAATTAAAAAAAAAGAAAATTTTAGTTCCAACGAAATTGTACATGGTATTAAAAGTTTCTAGTAAGCGATATTACATAACGTTATGTCAGATAATTATATATTATTATTGTAGAAAATCGTTCGTATCATAAATAAAAATTAAATCATAACGAGTGTAAGAATTATTAGGTACGAGATAAAATATTGCGCAGTTCGAAATGCTATCCGTTTTCATGATCGATTCACACCGCTACATGCGCCTCTACATATCTACGTACCAAGTACCATTAACTCCATCTAGTAACACGATGCATTCAATTCCTCGCGGAACTGATGCACTCCAACGATAACGTTGCATTATTACTGCGGCAAATTCCGAAATAAACACGTTCCATAAAAACGATGCATCGCATTTTTATGTAATTGATACACAGTCACGTAACCTACCATTGTTCCGACGCCCATTGCAACAAGTTTATAATTAACGTCATGCGACTACTCTGTCGACAATATATTACCAAAAAAAACAACTCCGACTATTTAGTAACTTTTTCCTCCCGTTTATACGTTAAATTTTCAATGAAACCAATCACAAAGCCCAACGGATAAATAATCAAACTTCCTCCTAATATCATTATGCAACGAAAAACGACAAAAATCTCGCTAGTAAAGCGAACTGAGAACGTATAAAAATGGAAAAATACGATTATCGACTGGAACGGGTCTCCTTGAGATTTCTCCGTATGACGTCTCAGTCTTTTTCCTATTGGATTTCACTGCAACGATTGGTCGACAGTGAGCTCATCCACGCGCTGATTGGTCAAAAGTGACGTATTCGAGCGTTTACTGATCAACCAGCTCGTAGTCTGACGAGCATCGTACTGTGACGTGTTAATCCCGCACTACCGACACCGACGTTCCAGCTCGCATACACGGAGAAGGTTCGGAAAAGTGCGCCAGTGCAGACGTTGTAGTGAGTTGCTCGTGAACGAATCTCACCGGAACACGTATTACCGAGACTGTATCCGACGAACAAGTTCCGTAAAAACGGTATATAAAAGAGTTCTCGCGCTCCAAGTGGAAGGTACAACAATACCAGTCGTGTCAAGGAGGGTGAGTGTACTTTAATATACTTTCTGTTGTGCTCTCCAACCTGTGTATCTATCGTTAGTAGACTCTGACCGCCGTGTAACCAGATTATATAACCGTTGATCGACGGGTTAATTTTGTCATTCGTACGAACTGGCAATACTCGAAATTACGCCGCGGCGAGCAGTAGCGCGAATCGATCCGGACGTCGTAGCGACCGTGCAAAATATAGCATTCCAGAAAGTTCTGAGTCATTGTGTGTGTGCATTCTCAAGCGTGCCACGCGACCGTTTTCATTCGGTTTCTGCGCAAAATTCGTGTTGTTCCAACGTGACACGACGTTACGCGAACGAATGTGCGTTAACGTAAGCCGGTTTGCGAAAATTCAGTCACATGCGGTGATGCTGTGTATTACGTAACGAGGTTAGTTCGATAACAACGTAAAATGAACGTTTCCCAACGAGGTCTGTGTTGCTTGACGGTTCGATAAGAGGACGTATCGAAAAAACGGGGCGGCTCGATGATAAAACGTGGCCGTTACATTTATGGAAAAATCGCGATCGGTTCGATAGGCGAACGATGCGGTACGAGTCACGATTGAATCGAACAACGTTCGCAGCCGTACTGTGGGAACCACGTTCTTTCTACGGTTAATCGTACACGAAACGATCAGTCCACTTATTGATAAGTAATTATTTGAAAACGCACGTATTGGATGCATGCTCTACGTATACGTAAATATTCGTCGTGCGTGGCATGTACATGATAATAGTAGTGTTTTTAGCACTTCCATCGATTCGCAGGAAGAAAATACTTTTGGTATACAATGAATTGTGATGTTTCACTAAAAACTTCTCTTCTCCCTTTTTATGTTTCAGATTGAATAATATTTTAATTTTTTATTCAACAACTTTTGCTGAACATGGTATAGCCCAAGTAAAATAGCTAACACCAAAAGTATTCCATTTATAAGAGCCGTGTTTTTTTTTTTATTTGCATTATATTTTATCCACTGATTACAAGCAATTAATTCCCAATATCGTGTTTTATAAGATTTATATAATCTTGCAAAGATGTAAGATATTATCTTTCCTGTGAAATATTAACACTGTTATCACGATAAATTGATATTCTCTTTGTTACCCTATAATTAAGTTTTATAGATGGGATTATTGATAATTTTTATCTGCATGTTTATAAGTTAGATATCAGGAAATATTGTTTGGTTTATTTCATACCTTCACTTGATTTCTGCAAAGTAAATGCTATAAAATAAAAGCCAAGGTTATCTGTAGATCATTTTATAACTGTTTATAAATAAAAGTATTACTAAAAATCACCCTTTACACTAATTGAAATTGTTATTTGCTATCTATCTGCAAAATGTCGTGAATGTCGCTCGGTGTATTCTAAATTTAAAAGTTTCATTTTTTTTCTTGCAGGTATTCAAAATCCCTCCCGTTTACGAACGCCCAACGGCCAGCAACATTTCATTTGAGAAAGGAGGCGTGTTTAACGTAGGTGCCCTACTAAGTGTGCAAAACCTTATAGAAAACAACTGGTTTTGATAAAATTTTAAAGAAATGAAATTCTAGGTATCAAAGCCATGCAACCGTCAGCCGCGTCTGTCATCTGCTTCTCGTGGCGTGAGATTGTGGCCACTCGAGGAAGAGTCTTCAAAAATGGACACAGTTCCTTTGCTATCCCCAACCATGGAGTCAGAATTACTAAAAGGGCCATGGGTATTTCCACAGCCAAAAACGAATATAACAAAAGAAGAGGAGAAAGCAACATCCTCCACATGGGAGGAAAATTTTCAGGATTTAAGTGGTTGGTGCATGGACACGTTCCAGGGTCAATGCGATTTTCATGCAGGTGAATCACCTACTTTTAAACTATCAGGTCAGTATAAACATATCCTAATGATTTTCTGTACATCCATAATAGGAAGATATCTCTTTTAATTGTATAATCATAATGTTCCAGGTACGAAATACGAGGGTAACAGTGTTTTGTCGTCAGAAGAGAGGGTATTGAAAGATTTGATGAGTGTAGCAGACGAAGAAAAGTGGAATGTGAAAATGAACACTGCTGAGACAAACGAGCCTTTGAGTAACAATTGCCAAAGCTTGCAATTAACATCAGATGTAACTAGTAAATACGAGAAAGAAGATAGTACTGCAGTATCTAACACACCTAACTTGTGGTTAAAGCTATCAAAAGGGTCAGCAGCTACAATAAATAGAAGCTCATGGAGCAAACAGAATAATACAGATGTTAGTACACCATCTCAATCCAGATATCCGATAGAAGATATTGATTTGAACAATGCTGGTCCGACTTCTTTCGATTCCATCGAGAATCAACGTGAAACGTGGGACGTGCTAAAAACTGTCGAAACCACTGGGTCGGATACGTTTGATTTATTATCGTACCTCTGCGATGTAAGTTGATACCCACAATTAATATAAGAAACAATATAATGAAAGTATCATCAAAATAATGCTCAATAAAAATATCTTGTATTGTGCTGCAGGATGAAATGCGATCTCCAGAAGGCAGTGTTTCAACAGATTCATCAGTAGCATCAAAACCATGGTCAACCACCAGCTCGTCTGTAACGACTCCACAGACTAGTATAAAAGTCAAAACTGAGAAGAACGAAACGGTCCCACCGAGCACAGAAAGTCGAGCAGCATCGACGATAACATCGTCGTCTTCTATGGAAACATCTTCTACAGTCACATCCCGGAGAACAGAAAGGGTGACGAGGTCAACGGTTACTAACAAAGTGGAAAAAACTTACAGCAGAGCGCGACGCGAGAAAGCAAGTCGAAAACGTTACGTCGAGACGAGTGACACAGACGATCAAACGTTCGTGTCGCACTATCGAGAATCCAGGGAAAAGAACAACGAAGCTTCAAGAAAGTCACGCATGAACAAAAAAGCGAAAGAGATTGAGATGTCGAACAAAGCAACTGAATTGGAACGAGTCAACAGGATGTTGAAGATGAAGGTCGAAGAACTTGAGAAGCTCGTAACAACAATGCGCAGTGCGTTATTGAGGTCCGCTTTAAAGAAAGAAATGTAACAGCGTTTTTATTGTACTTGTTTTGAAAGTTTAATTATGCGCCGGGATGTCGTGTAAAAGACAGACTTTGTTGTACTTTTCCTTTTTTTTCACATTTTTTTTCTTTTTTTTTTTTTTTTTTTTTTAAGTGTTCTGTATATGTTTTGTATACGAGAGGAGAAGTGATGCATTATTTGCATCCGTGTTATGTACACACATTATATACATATATATCTACATCTGTTATCGATTAATGCCAGATTGATTTTAAATTTTACGTTACACTTGATATTAATCATTTATATTTTTTGTTCGATCTATCGTTTGAAAAAGGATTATCGAATTCTATATGTTCATATTCGTTATAAAAGTTCGAAGAAAAGTGTATTTGTTAACATTCTATGTGAAATGTTTGTTGCACAATGTTTGTGTTTAAGTTTTTTATTTATCGGAGACGTGTCTTATTTACGATGTTTTATAATACTTAAACGAAATCTACGTTATTGTTCATGTTATTGAATTGAACGACAATGAGAAAAAAAAAAAAGATATATGGAGTGAGACGGAAAAAGATGGGGTAAAACTTGTGAAAAAAAAAGGTATCCTTTTAAGAGTTTATCGAGAACAAAGATTACATAATCATATTTTGTTCAGCCTTGTATTGTACCTGATAAAAAGTATAAATATGGAGGTCGGAACAAGATAAGTTATGATCGGTAAGAATATAATTTTTTTACTGGCGTGGGCACAATAGTGGCATGATGTACAATTAATCTTCAAATAAAGAATATGCTTTGAAATCTACTTCGTAGTGGAGAAAATTATTTTTGTAGACATTTATTGTACGAACATAACCTTTACAGAAATGTAACACCTGATATGTATCGCATATCGAATGACAAACGCATTTACTTAAATTTAATAATTCCTATGAGAAGTTCTGTTTACAAACAAATCGCAATAGTACAATGATTTGTTGGTGTACACTTATCAGAATATTATCAGAATGTTACTCTATTATTAAGTAACAGAAGACAAACCATGAACTACCCAAAGTTATTGTTAGTCGTTTGTTGTTTGAAACTGATATAAAGTAAATCTCAAAAATTTTATTTTTCTCGATAATGTAAAAAATGATGCAAATGTAATAAAACTTTTGGCACCTAAATTATATGGAATATGTTATTCATATAAAAAAAAAACCTTAATATTATTCTGTCATATTACGAAAATACTTCTACTTTTAATTTGGTATTATTGGAAATGCTTATAGAAATATTTTTTAGATTTAAAAATTTGTGTCTAA